TTTTCAAACTGGGTTTTCGCCATAACTTAGCCAAAAAAGAAGGCACAGCTAAAATGAAGACTGTTTTGTGCTGCTAATAAACATAGCTAACTATGCCTATCACTACTTTTATGATTTTCGAAAAAATAAATTTTAACAAAATTTCGCATTTTCGATAAGGGGTACCCCCATCAAAATTTGCGAAAAATGGCAAAAAATTAGAATTTACTTTTTTGAATACACGTCGATGGGAAATTTTGTTACGAATTCAACGGGGTATGACATTCTAGGTTTGGACAACTATTTTTATTGCTATCGCAAAAAAACCGTTTATTTTTTATCAAAAAATAATCATAAAAAAAATTTTGTCAAAAATCGGATATTTTCAAACTGGGTTTTCGCCATAACTTAGCCAAAAAAGAAGGCACAGCTAAAATGAAGACTGTTTTGTGCTGCTAATAAACATAGCTAACTATGCCTATCACTACTTTTATGATTTTCGAAAAAATAAATTTTAACAAAATTTCGCATTTTCGATAAGGGGTACCCCCATCAAAATTTGCGAAAAATGGCAAAAAATAAAAGTTTCCAAGTTTGAACACAGGTGGATAGGGAATTTTGTTACAAATTCAACGAGGTATGGCATTCCACTTTTGAACAACTACTTTTTTTGCTATCGAAAAAATACTGATAATTTTTACCAAAAAAAAATAATAGAAAAATGTAAAAAATCTGATATTTTTAAACGGGCTTTTCTCCACAACTTGGCACAGCTAAAATGAAGACTGTTTAATGGGGTTACTACCCTTACTACTTTCTGCTGATTATTGGATATATATTTTAAAACAAATTTTCGCGATTTAGTTTAAAAAAAATGTAACGAGGTGTGCGTCTACACTTCTTTAAATTTAAGGTAACCATGGCGCTTTGCGTGGACACGCTGCTTTTCTTTTTCACCTACAACGTGTGCGCCATTTTCAAGATCGCCAAGCACCGGATGATCCACCTGCCGGCGGGGGGCGGAAAGGAGGAGCTGGAGGGGCTCGTCCAGGTGCTGCGGCTGCACCAGAAGGGCCTCCAGATCGCCGATCACATAGCGGACAAGTACCGCCCGCTGATCTTTCTGCAGTTCTTTCTGTCCGCCCTGCAAATCTGCTTCATTGGATTCCAGGTGGCGGATCTGTTTCCCAATCCGCAGAGCCTCTACTTCATCGCCTTTGTGGGTTCGCTGCTCATTGCCCTGTTCATCTACTCCAAGTGCGGTGAGAATATCAAGAGCGCCAGCCTGGATTTCGGAAACGGGCTGTACGAGAGCAACTGGACCGACTACTCGCCACCCACCAAGAGAGCCCTCCTCATTGCCGCCATGCGCGCCCAACGACCTTGCCAGATGAAGGGCTACTTTTTCGAGGCCAGCATGGCCACCTTCTCGACGGTGAGTTTCCGTAACCATTGCCACGTGCCGCAGAAATACACGAGGAGAAATAAAACACTTGTAGCTCTTGTCTTTCTTTCCTTTTTCTTTTCATCTGTCTTTATGGAGCATGTTGGAGACATTGTACTTGCAAATTTATTTATTAAATGTGCCGTACAATTAATATTTATTTATTAAATGTACCTTAAATTTTATTTTGCAGATTGTTCGCTCTGCCGTGTCGTACATCATGATGTTGCGCTCCTTTAATGCCTAAAAAGGACATCAAAATGAATCGCAGGAGGCTGCATTTTAAGCAGTTAAGCATTTGAGTTTGCGACAATTCGAGTTCATCAACAATATAATAATGGATATTTAGTATAAGCTTGAAGATATATTTCAAACTAGTAAATCAATTTAAATGCTGCTTATGTTTTGTGTAATTATACAAAAATGTTGCTGAGTGCATAACAGGTGCACTCAGTTTCCACAGAAATTTCGAGGTAACAGCTCAACTACAAAGTTTTCATATTATCGGGAATCAGAGCGATGAAACTCACTTCCAATTTCATTCACCAATTGAGTATTCCCATCTTTGAATCTCCAGCTGCGCTGAGCTTGTTGGATTAATTTGTTTTATTTTTATAACGAGCCAGGCAAAATACGCAACATTGGGGGAATGAGTTGGGGCAAATGTGGAGGCCAGACGTCACTGCCATTCACTGCCACCCATCATGACGAGACTTCTTTTTTAAACTTGAGCTGTTTTTCTTAGCCCAAAGGAAAATAAGAAAAGTTCAGATGCGAGGCGTGTTTTTTTTATTTATTTTTTTTTTTTGGTAGGAAGTAGAGCAGATTGCAAGCGATATCGCTGCAAACTAAGCGTATCTCCCCGCGATTTCCCAGTCAGACTCCAGCCAGTGCCACTGGCATCCATGTTCGACCCATTTCCTAGCTGGCTGTAACGATTTCCTGTTCGAGCCGTGATTGATGACAGGCGACTATCCACAGCTATGGAGCAGGTAGGTTGATATCTGTTGGATGCAAAAGTCTTAAGTACACGCAACACTGAGCTGCTTGATTGGATACCTGGATACTTTGGCAGTTCAGCACTTGCGATTGAGACCGGATCATTCACACATTTCACGGCCGTTGCACTTTAATTGCCAACTGTTTCATTTCATAAGTTCTTAATTACGTATACGACGGGTGGCCCGTAGCTGAATCGGTTCCTCAGTCTGCAAATGAAATGGGTTGGTGTCAATCGTATAATGTATTAGCTACATGTCGTTCAAACTCAAACGAGGTATTTAATTGTAAAAGTTTTGCGTTTTTATTATCGATAGAAGTATCAAGAAACACTGTTATGAAAGTGTATTGGTACTTGCTGAAAATAAAAGCTTAATTCAAATGTACTTTTTGTGTTGCCAGTTCTAGTGTATAATATTTATGTTCCTGAATTTGGAGCCTGGACTATAATGATATTCTTCTTGTTGCTGATTGAATTTCTCTGGAGCTTTGCGCTTCTAACTGGGTTCGCCCCCTCTAAGGTCATCACCCCAAACACCTGTCCCGTTTGCAGCCATAAAGCGTTTTTGATTTACATGGCCGGAATTGAATTTATTTGTCCCCCGCTCGTCAAATCCCATTCTCCCTTCCGAAAAGTCTGATTTGGTAACAACAATAAAGCAGATTGGCAGTGGAGCAGTGGAGCGTTTGTAACCGAAACAAAATAAACGAAATTGAAATGTCCCTGGACCTGGTCATGATTTATTGCATTGCATAGTGACTGGATATTCTAAACTTGTTGGTGCTAACAAAAATCCCCATTCTGACTTCCTGCGCCCTCGCACATAAAACACAAAAATGAAATAAAATATTATTTGAAATATATGTGCTGTGCGAATTTCATGATTGAGCATAAATAAACTGTATGGGAAGCTGGCACAAACAGAGCTCATGAATTTGGAAAATAAACTGTTTTGACAACTTCGAGCTTGTGTGCGCAAACAACAAGGGTTTTTCCTTCCATTCTGTTGTGAACTACCGGCGAATTACTTAGCAGTGAATAATTCTATATCCTCTAGTACCACACCTCTCCTGGCAAACAGAAGAACAAAAGCACTTTATAGCCTACTGTTCCTCTAGTTTTCGCCATCCTCGCCATTGTCCTTTGCTCCACTTGCTAACTTTGAATGGAAGGGCAAAGTACTCACTTCCTTTGTTGCAGGTGATTTCAAATACGAAGATTTTTCCTAGCTGCTTCCTCACTAGCTGCAAATAAATGCTAGCATCTTCCCCAAGAGTTTCCAAAATGTACAAAAAACATAATTTTACATCTAAGACTGCTTAAATGCATAATAAATAGGCATTAGGTAATTTTAGCGCTTCTTTCAAGGCGCTGAATGATGTGGGCAATCATAATTTCCGCGGGTGCTAACTGCGACATGTGGCCCGAACTTTCTGGATCTGCCGCTTGTCCCGCCTTTTTCAAGCTGGCTGGCTGGCTCCGTAAAACCGTCACAAAGTAACGCATGGAGCTTAACGATGGCGGCCATAATGTCAGGACAAGCTGCTCCGCCCCAGCGCCATCAAAACCGGACATGACCTCGGATGCGGATGGGAACCAGCAGTCGTCTGAGGTGGAGCAGCCTGGACCTAAGCCCGCCGAAAGAAACACGTTGGAAAAATATAGCAGAAACGAGTAATAGAACCATCAAAGTTTATGTGCTATATGTTTTCACTTTTAACGCTTTTTGGGCGGAACAGAAAGGCACGGAGCAAAAGGCAGATGATGTAGCGGCCCATTGTCATCGAAGATGATTTATTGCCCCAACTGCAAGTGGCCCAAAAAAACATATATATATATCATGTTTATTCCGTTGTCATAGCGTGAGCAGCACAAGCAGGCGAGCTGAATTATCGAGTATACGCAGCGTTGGACACCGCAGGCGGAAATATTCAGCTGCACTTAAGCTCCTCCGCAGGCGACCTCGGAGTAAGGAGTCCTGCTGCTCGTGAATATCACATTCTCAAGACTGGCAAGTGGTATACATTAAAAGCGTTTGCTTTAGAATTTCATGAACATTTTGCAATAATTTGTTTTGATAAATCGAAGGTCTAGTCAAACGGTTTCAATTGCAAAAGCACAGCACTATTTGTTCATCCTGCTCTCTTATTTAAATGAAATAATGGTATTTGTTTTTTTCATTATAAGAGTAGTACATAAGGTGATGGAAGTAAAATCTCATTTAAATGTTTGGATTTTAATACATTTCAAGGAATCGCATTCAATATCCCTTTCTTTGCATTCACAATGTTTTGATAGCATTTTCGGGGATGAACGACTTACATCCACTGGCTCAGTAGGCTGAAGTGCTAAGATGCAAGGCAAGCAAGTATTATCCGAAATATTTCAGAAAGTCCTTCGGAGAACTTCACTGCAGTTCGCCGTTTAGCCAGAGCTTTTCGGAAAAAGCTTTCGGAGCAGCAGTAACAGGTTCGCCTGTTGGCAACAGCTGGCCAAAACCGTTTACGGCCAAGTTAACAGGGAAGCAACAGTGCGCTGGCCGATTTAAAATAGCGCGTCCGCTGACAATTCGACTCAGTTCCTGTTCAGCCACAGTCGGTTACGTTTGCCGTGAACCGAGAGCCCCCGGAAAAGTAGTGTCGAGAAATAGAAGTGTGGAGCAGTTGTATTCAGTACCGGAGTCAGTCAGCACTCAAATCACAATCTAGATCCCAAATCTGGCCACCCGATCCGACATTTCAAGTTCAAGTTCAAATTCGAATCCAAATTCAAGTCCAATTCCAAGCCAAAATTGAAAACCAAAATTTTTTGAAAGACAACGTCTACCGTGCTCACTGAAATCAACCAAGTAATCAAGGTTTGAACTCTGGTTCTTCCCCTCATTTGGTGTCTGTTGTACGTATTTTTTTTAATTTTTTGAAAGTGCGTGCGTGTTATGAAAAGTTTGTTTGAGGGTCTTTCTTTTTGAACACCAAAACGGCAGGAAAAAGAAACGAAAAAAGCGAACGCAAAGCGAATAAAGTAGGTAACAACAAAGCGGCTAAGCGGGAAAATCGGAGGTCAGGTATCCTTGGTGCCCCTGTCCAGCCAGCTATTATAAGCCATCGTTTTCCTTTTTATTTTTTTTTTTTGTGCTTGCCTCGGCTCTTTAGAGGCGTAGTATCCAGTTTATGCAGACCTATGCAGAAAATTGTATTTCATTTCATTTCGTTTCAGTTTGGTTTGGTTTAGGTTCGTTATTTCCTTTGCTCTTGCTTGGGTTCCGGTTCTTTTCGTCCTTCTTCCTTATTTTTTTGGTAATTTTGTGTTGCCTTTTCATATTTGATGAGAACGTGTTGGCAGACACAGGGGGTGTCATCTATATATATGCTATCCTAAAACAGAAGCTTCAGTTCCTCTCCTTGGGCACCGTTTTATACTTTACTTATCTGTAGTTCCCGCCCACTCAGCACCAGCCACCCATCCCACCATCCACCCATCCACCCATCCAAACAACCAACCATCCAAACATCCACCCATCCAACCGTGGCCTTTTGTTATGCATGGCCGTGTGAATCATTCATATGCAAATGCTGTGAAAATTCCCATTTACGTTTTGAGGAAACCCGCAGAAGCCACAGAAATGAGAGAGGTCCTTCTTATGGTCTTTGTGGTCCTCTGGTTCTTTGATCTGAGCTGAAAGGGTACCAAGGGTATGGGGAATCCGAAGTCAAGCGATCACCACTGGCCAAATGCCATATTTTAGTCACGATTAAGTGTTGCCTACTTATCGGCGGCAGCTGATAGCTCTGCTTTGTTTGTCCTGGCCAATTACGCCGGTGAGCAGTTCATTTGCGACCATGACTAACCGCTTTCCGGTCTAATCTAATCGGCTTTTGCCCTTCAGCCCGTGTGATTCCTAATCGCATGTGAATGATTCGAGATTTGCGGCGCTGCCTGGCTCGCATGTGCTATTCAATTTGTATTTTTACTAGGTGTTTGATTGAATAAAAGTGTGTACATGTAGGAAAATGTTACTTGCATTACTTACTTTTCGATCATAAACATTTAATCATATAATATAAAACGAGCCCCAAAAAGCATGCTACACTTTTTGCGTAAGCCCTGTGCTGGAAATGAAATAATAAATAAACATAAATAACTAAATCCACAACGTGGCAATGTTCTTACTTTATTTTTAATTACTTGTTTTTTCTGGCCTTTCACTATATATGTGGTGGCCTTAATCCGCTTTGGGTGATCAATTGCCATCGGCGGGATGTTGACGCATTAAGCCTCTTGTCCGTCACACTCACCGGCTCTTAGCCTTTTTATGGTTTTTCCATTGCGGCTCGATTTTTGAAGTGTGAAGCTGGGCAACATTTGTGCTCTGCAAGCGAACAGATTAGTAGAATAATAAATACAGATAAAAATCAACACAATTAGCTCGGCTTGCGCTTTGCCAACCATTAATTGTAAACGAGTTAATTTTATATAAATGTGTATGGGTTTTTAAGCGGTTTTTATGGTTTCTAATTTACTTGTCCGAAGCGTTGGAATAATATTATAGTTTTTCCCCTATCTTCGCCACAAGTTTAACTCCAGGGGTAAATCTTTCCCCTTTTTATTTTAACATTGCGACTAATTCGGTCCGAACATCCAGCCAGCAACTGACAAAAAGGGAAAGCAGAAAACAAGCCAGTAAATGAGGAAGAAGTAAGAAAAGTGGTTTAGGTGTAAGAGGCTTTCCACCAGCCACAGCAATTAATTTACATTAATTTTCCTTTGTTCGCATGGCATTGTTTTGTTTCGTTTAATTTCTTCCCTTCATTTTTTTCTGCCTTTTTGCCTGGGTAACCGCAGCTGCAGCAGCGATTTTATTAAAATACAATTACAACACTTGGGCATCTGCTCTGTACCATTTCATCGCGACCTGGAAAGGACCCGTCCCTATTAGCAGGACCTAGTGAAACACCCGAAACGGAAAGAGGCAGGATGTCGGACAAGCAGCAGGAAAGTGAGCCAATCCCCGAGGAGGAGGTGCAGCAGCAGCAGCAGCAGCAGCAGCAGCAGGAGCAGCAGGAGCAGGAGGCTCCTGGCAGCAGAAGTGCCTGTTGCGGATCTGGACCGGAACCGGAACAGGAAGTGGAACCGGAGCCGGAGCCGGAGCCGGAACCGGAAGTGGAAATAGACGTGGAGGTGGAGGGCGCTGCAGCTGCCGGCGGATCGGATGCACCCGCTCCGGCCAATCAAAATCCGGGACTGGAGCGCGACAGGGACAGGGACCCGCACGGCGATAGGTGAGTGAAGCGAACTCCGATACTGATTCCCATTCCGATAGCCATACCCGTTCCGAGTACCCATCCTCCCGCTCCGAGCGACCTTGTCAATATCCATTAGCTAATTGGGCATGCGATGTCATGGCAGCGGTGCAAAAGGTGGGCCTAGTCTGGCCCGAAAGTGAACCCAACTGTTCCAAATGAAATCAACACCATTATAATATACCGAGTAGCATGCGTATGCATACATCATTTAATTATATAAAATATTTCATGTAAAAAGAGTAAAGCTTTATTAAGATGTAAAGTTATGGGCATTAAAATGTATATCTAACATATATGTATTACATATAACCTATAATATAGCCCTTATTATGTATATAATCCTTGTAAGATCTTGGAAATTCCCATCTAAAACAAAAGCCTAATATACAAATGATTGCTTTTAAAACACAGAGCCTTAACATAATTACACCACTCCTAATGATTTCGGTGTCACTTAGCCCAAGTTTACCCTCTCTTTAGATCCCAAGCCTTAACCCAATCTCAAACCCTCATTTTCTGGACAAAAAACCTTTGTTGACTGCTATGTACAACGAATTAACACATTTGCACTTTGGTGGGGGATTCCAATTGGGGAAGCTTTATAAATAGATACCAGCCACTCCCCAAAAAAGTCCTTAAAGCGCGTCCTGTAGGAACTTTTTGGCTGACAGCCGAACCCTTTCTGGTCATTTTTTCTGGGTGTCAAGTTGCCAGAAGACATTTTTTCCATAATTAAAAAGTTGTTTATTTGAATGCAATTGAGCAGCTGTGTGCGAGCTATTTAAGCCATGTCTCCTAATTATCAATCTAATATTAGAAATTTGCGCCTAGTGTAAATTACAGTCATGGATGAAGTAAAGAGATCTTATCTCTATCGGCCATATTACCCACTGATTGTGCACTGCATATCGCGATGAAATTTATGGTCGGATTAACAGAAATTTACTTCGAAAGTATCCCTCGTTGCCAAATCAAAAGCTTGTCCTGAAATTGATTAGATAAAACTCGGCCTATTCAATGCAAGCCTTTGAGCCTTTTTTTAGAAATTTTCTTAGTTACATTTTCAAATATGCGCCTACACAAATAGCCCTCTAGATGAAATGACTTTTATATTTAATAAACTAGATTGAATATGAACGGAAGTCTAATTTGCTGCCCACAATTATTGCATACACATCGAATAAAGTGCTGAACTGGCGTGTCACTTGGGTCAATGAGTAAGGAAAATGTCTTTTTAATGCGCAACTTTGGCGAGGTTCCCACTCCAGAAAGTTTCGTTTTATTTTCCACTGCGCTTTCTCCCTGAAAGTAAGGCTGGCATTCTGTTTTTCCTTCCGGCTGGGTTCCTTCGTCCGGCTTTCATTTCCGGAGTTACCCTCGTCAGCGCCTCGCAGTCAATCATTGCCACATTTCAAGGCATTCAGCGCTGCAATTGACACTTTGTGGCGCTTTCTATTTGATTTTATTTTTCTTATAATTAAATGCCTAATTGGTGGGTGCTCAAATTGATGGCACCACTACAGGTGGCACTGGCTGCTTCTGCGCCAAGATTCTTAGCCAAAAGGTAACGGATGCCGAGCAGGAGTGCCACACCCCTTGTGGACTTTATGCATATCAATTGTAAGGAAGGCAACGGCTGGACAAACAAACCGATGGCTCGAGGACGCGATAGTCAACATCTTTATACACGGCAGCATTGTCCTGCCACATCCTGCTGCCCCAGAGATGCCCACAGATTTGACAGCATAATTAACAACTCTTCAGCAGACATCCATTCATGCCGCTCGCTTCGTCCTTCACTTGCGATGATTTTTCAGGCGAAATCCCGCGATTTATTGCTGCCCGAGCACTAACAATATCTTCAGCAAGGTTGGATGCGATTGGATTGGATGGGTACTGCGTTCTGGCTCCACCGGCTCCCATCCTTCCATTAAGCTTACCATACATTCGGAATTGACAATGAGCCAGTGGCTTGGACATGGCACGTGAGCTGGCTGCCAGATGAGCACATGGATGCCTCAGGTTTCCCCTTCCATTGTCAGCGCCACTCAGCCCTGCCAAATTGTTAATGGAAATTATTAGTTACTTAGCTATTAGCTGCTTTGCATATTCTGATGAATCCGGCCTGCCAAACATTCTGAAAGTGAATCGCATTGGTTTAGAAAGCGGTTAAGATACAGATACTGTCGCAATGCGTTGATTACAAGGGCAAGCAAAACAATTTATGGGGCTTCCAAATGAAGTGGGGCCAATTGTTTCCTGATTGCCAAGTGCATGAAAGCTAATTTTCTTTTCGAGAGGAGGGCTTCCGTCTTGGGCGGCAGTAAATATCTGAACTGGATCCAATGGATCACTGATAAAAGCGAGTATAAACTGGCGAATGGCAGTCGACTGCCGCTGCCGATTCGGCAAGCCAATCCTTTTGCGCTGTTTTTTATTTTTCTCCTTTTTTGGGCGGGGAAAACTTTATGGAAGCCCCCAGAAGCTGGCTTGTATCACAGAATTATAAAGTTTTCTCAGCTCCAGATTTCAGCCCGTGGGGCTGAGCAGCAAAATGGAATGTGCTGGCATCAAAATCAAAATCAAAATGAAAATCAAAATGAGAATCAAGCAGGTATGGCACACTTAAGCCGGCTCAATGCGAAAATGGAAGGAGGGCTGCTCTATGTATGCACTGTTTGGAAATCGACATCTGCTGGCAATCAACTGTTCACACAATTGAATCGCATACAGTTGACCAAACAGGAAGCTAATGCGAATCCGTGTCTGAATGCGAATGTGATTTCTAATAAGTAGTGAGTCTTGAGTCTTGAGTCGTGAGTCCTTACCCCGGGAAACCTTTCTAGCTTCTGGCCGTGATTGCGATTATGGCAGCCGCACTGTGCCACTGATTTATGGTCGCTAAATTCGCTGGATGCTGAACAGTACATGTTGCTGAATGGCAGTTCCCAGCAGGCTTTGGCATTGGCATTCAGTTCACACGACCCATCCGAGAGCCGGAGAGCAGAACTTGACCCCATCACGTGGGTCTTGACTAGCGACTCTCGTGTGCGGCGGGGAAACAGACACACAGTGCCACAATTAAACGCACAAGGACGTGGATGTGCATGTGGAGCGATCGATGTGGAACGGAGCGGAATCAGTTCCAACCAATCGAATGCAAAGGTTGCCGCTGCAGCTCACCTTTGACCCAACGAGTTGAAGGCAAGCACTTGGCCTAATTGGAAAAATTATATACTTTGGCACCGAGTAAGCCAACTGGAACAATCGCAGACATTTTGGTACATTTCATGGCAAACAAATTGACTTACAAATATGCAGGAAATCGCATAAATAAAGATTTTGCCTAAGCAAATGTGCGGTATGTCCCAATCCACTGACCGAGAACTAGTTCGATGGACCCCAGAAGGAACGCGCAGCTGGCCGGCGGAAGGAGCAATTGGCCAAAATGGTGTTTGAAGTAAAACCCAGAAACGTGACGGGATTCACAAACGTTGACCAGCGCATGCCGGAATACCGCAAGGGCATCTTACCCTTACTTAGGAATAGCGACAAAGGCGACAAAAAGCTCAGCGGCAAAGAACAATAGCATTGGCCACAAGGAGCGTGGTCCAGCCATTGGGCTTAGAGTTAAAAATACCCATTCGAACATTTCGTTGTTTTTGCCCTCCAGTTGCACATGAAGCTGTGCACGGTAATAACGTATACGCATTAAGTATACGACTCGGTGTACGAAAGCTTAAGCTGTAACAGCCATTATCCTTAGCCTCTGGCCACCCAAGTTTGTCTTTAAGGAAATATCGTTTCCCTTATTTAAGTCATTATTTTGCTATGCCATTAATTGGCTTATTAGGTCATAAACTAGTAGGCACAATTTATAGTTGTTATTATTTGCCATTTCTCAGTTTTTATATCTTATAGCGTTTAGAATATTTCTATACACGAGTTTTTTCGCATTGCAATTACAAAGTTGCAAACGATGCGTGACCAATTAGGAGCAGATCTAGTTAGCCAAACTTAGTTAACTGGAAATAAATGCAGCTTTTAATTGCTCACCTTAAGAATTAGTTATTTGGTTCGTTGAGTGTGCGTGTACTTGCCAAATTCAATGGAGGATTCCGCTGAAGCGCACACATCAAGGGCCAACTTTCTGCCAATCTGGCGGTGCCATGGCCATTTTCATTGTTGGCCGGGTCTGGCAGTGATGTCCTTTATACTCACTTTAAGCCTGCCCCACAACATACACATGCACACGGTTGGCTAGCAACTAGCCCCACAATAGACTATGCTGCAAACACATCAACGACAGAAAACGGCATCTCTCAACGTTCTGGTGGCAGAATTACCGTCTAATTACCAACTGTTTGGTGCGGAAAATCTCCGGTCAAAATAAGTTGCGGCCAACCGCAGAAATGAAATTAGTTAACCATATTTGTTGCACCCCTCTCCCCCTCCTCCTCTTTTTTTTTTGCTGTGTTTCGGCCTTTATTTTGGTCGCCATACCATCGATTTTTGTATGCCGACGCACAAGAGCTGAAACACTCAACCCCATTCTATGCTAGATGTATGTTTATATACTCGTATACTTATGTAGTTTATATACGTATATGCCTACATACAGACAAAGATATGGTTGACGTTGGTAACGGCAATAAATCGCCATTGAAATTCTGTTGTTCAGTTGGCTTCATTATCACACCCTCTGCAAAGGGGTAGAGTTCCTTTGGCCATCAACTTGAAACCCGATACCAGCCTATTATCGTCAAAATACGAAGTCACCTAGCATTTAAACACAAATTGAAATGTCCATTGGCGGCTAGATAAGCTTTTCCATAGGTTGTACAAAATGATGGGGATTTAATAACACACAACGCGCTTTTTTTCAAATATTTCAACGCGGCAAAAGCAAGGAATGTATCGACACCTCCTAATTTTCTGGACTTTTGTTAGCAGGCAGAGTTGGTGCTAAAAGCCCG